GGGGAGGGGTGGAGTTTATTTGATACACTGACACATTTTGGATACATTTGGACAGTAATAATTTGTTGATTCTCTTTCTTTTATTATTTGTAGTTATCTATCTTTAGTAGTTTTTGTTCATTAGCTTCTTTATTTTCCCAATTTAGTTCTGGTTTTGTTATGTAGCTTCTTTTTATGCTTTTGTAGATAATAAGTCTTTGGTTTTCTTAACGCCATAGTTCTTTCCAAAGGTAGTTTTTGTATGAACCGGGTGACTCGTCCCAACGATAGATGGCCTGACAAGCTTCTTAAAGGAATGAGTTTGTTTTTGTGTTTAGGTAATAATAATAGTAGTAGTAATGAATAAAAAAGCCTAATCAAGTCGTTCTCGAAGAGTTAATCATACTTCATTTGGTACTAACACACTTAACTATGTGCTTATAGTTAGAGATAAAGATTTTCGAACACCAACCGGTATGGCTACATTCCGATAGGTATTTTGTAAGCCGTCCGATAAGCCCATAATGCATCATCAAGCTTCTTGGACCAATCTGCCCGATTATCATTCACCATTTTAGACATGATACTCTTTATCTCCCGGTTGGAGACATTCACTTGCCCACTAGCTTGTGGGTGATAGGGAGTCGTGACTTTGTGAGTAACACCATACTTGCTAAGTGTCAAAAGCCTTGTTGCAAAAGTGTGACCCCCTATCGCTTATAATTGCACGTGAAGTACCAAACCTTGTGAAAATATTCTTGTTCAAGAAAGCCACTACACTTCTCGCCTCATTATTGGGTGAAGCGACGGACCCAACCCATTTGGACACATAATCCAACGCGACCAAGATGTAGGTGTTTCCACAAGAGCTCACGAAAGGGCCCATGAAGTCAATGGCCCATCATATGGCAAAGAATGACAAGCCTCAAGAATATCACCTTGCTCTTCTTCCTAGGGGTGGGCGTCGGTCGGTTATTATGAAAGTTACGATTCGGTTAATCGATTTTCGATTTTGTAATATTAATAACCAAATCAAATCAAAGTATTTGCGGTTCAGTGCGGGTTTTTCAAGGTTCGGTTCGGTTATTTTCGGTTTAGTTTTTCGGTTATTAACGGTTCAAGATTTTTATATCCGATGTAAACTACGGATCTTTAGTTCGGCCTCTGGCTAGCAGTCCAGTTATAGCTAAACAAAATTGCAAAGAAAGAATTTTTCCCTTCCAATTTCTATATGAAAATCAGAAAGTTGTAACAGTGATTAATCTCTTTGGCATGCACTATGCGACAGAAAATGGAAATACAAACCAAGAGATATACCATTTATATAACTAAATATAGATAGACGTTCCACTGAAAGATTTCAGACGTGGCATTAATTACTTCAAATAAGAAGATAAGCAAACACAATTCATCAAACACAGTTTAGCTAAAACTCGCAGCTACCAAAGTCCAAAACAAGTCTAGAAATACCATCACCAAACAACAAAACAGTGGCAAACTAATCACAAGCCACAAGCCACAAAGTAAGTCTAGAAAATGATACTTAAAGTCTTAAATACGAATCACTGGATGAGGCATGAGACACTTCTTAATATGCTTCACTAAGCCAAAAGTGTCATAATACTTCGGATGACAATTATAAACTCGACCACAATGAAGGCACTTTGCTTTGCGGGCTTCTTCATTTACTTCAACTAGCTCAAAATATTCCCAAATAGACGATCTAGCTTTAGGACCACGAGGCATAGTTGAACCTACAAAAAAAGAAAATATCACAAGTTAGTAAAATATTTTTAATTATAAATAACAAAAGGAATAAAGGATATCATAAAACAAGCAAATCTTTAAACTTACCACGTGTTCAAACTATGCATCAACAATGCTAGTATCTCTTTCAACTATGCAAGTCTCTCTTTCGCTCTTTGCCATATCTAAATATAAGTTGATAAAGTGTGTCATTTAAACTTACAAAGTAAACTAATTTTTACTAAAACACTCATAAAACACAAAACCTTACCAAGTTCAATTTGCTCAAGAAACTCCAAATCTTCTTCAACATTAATAGGAGTACCCTCACATCTAAACCAATCTTGAACACAAACAAGACTTTGCACCAACCGAGGAGTCAATGAACTCCTAAATGAATCAAGAATGCGGCCACCGGTGCTAAATGCACATTCTGATGCAACACTTGAAATTGGAATGGCTAATACATCACGAGCTAGCTCAGATAGAATAGGAAATCGAGGCGCATTAATTTTTCACCAATCTAATATTTTAAAGTCATTAGAATCATCAGACAATGGCTCTTGTCCTTCACCAATATATCTTTCCAACTCAGATTTAGCACCTACACTTTCGGAGTCTTCCTTTTGCCTTTTTAATAATTGCTTTGTTCTCACATATTTTGTTCTCACATTCCCACTAGATGAATCAGATGTGTCATCAAATGAAGTAGATTTAGATAAAGATGATTGAAGATAACATCCTTTGGAATATTTTTTTTTATACTCCCCAAACAAAGAATTCAAATAAGCATCCACTTCGGCAGTTAATTTCTTTCCTGGTTCCTCCCCGAACATTTTCTCAAGTGCAAAACCAACATACTCTAATTTGTTATGAGGATCTATTACAAAAGCAATGAATATTATTTTATTCATCTTTTCAGGTTCACCCCAATATTTTTTAAACTTCTCTTTCATCCTCCCTGCCATCTTACTCAAATTAGTATAATCACTAACTAAACAAGCTTTCAAATGACTATCAAGCTCACATATATCCTCAAAATGACAATTGGAAGTGACATAACGTGAACCTGAAACTTTTTCGGAGAGTTTGTGAAATCTTTCAAGAAACTTTATCACGTTTCTCATATTCACCCAATCATCACATACAAATGGACCTGCAACATTCCCATCCTCACAAACATGCATACAAAGATGAGTAGAAAATCCATCATAAAAAAGATGAAGCTTGTCAAAGGCCTTCTCAAAGTTTTGCGTTATTTCCAACATCAAGTAGGTGAAATTCCACCTAGTAGAAATATCCAAACACAATGTTTTGCTACATTCTACATCTTGATGTGCACAACATTCCCTAAACTTTAAGGTCCTTTGCGGAGATGATCTCACATACCTCACAGCTTGTCTAACACATTTTACAGAAATATCAATTTTCTTCAAACCATCTTGCACAATTAGATTAAGTATGTGAGCCATACATCTCACATGAAGATGCTT